CTACCACAGCTAGGCCCAAGGACACTGCTATCTGTGCAGGTGCAGGACTTGGAATTAGCCATGGTTTTGTACTTTTCCATTCTCTAACAGCTAAATTCCCAACAATTTTTTGTTAAGATGAAAAATCTTCCAAGATGGTACTGCCAAGAATATCTGGCACATTTCAAGTTCCTGCCCCGGCGTGGCCTCCACCCCATCTTTCCTTGTCCGAGCATCTGCGCCTCATTCTTCAGAGCATTTCCCTACTTTGTCTCTTATCATGCACTTCCATTGGGACATTAGGTAAGACATTCTCTGCAAAACCTCAAGCCTGATGGAAGGAAGCCTCTGTGGCTCAGGAGGAGCTGCTGGCAGATGTGCCCCTCCATGGAGGAGCAGTACCACCAGCAGGGCTGGCATGGCTCTGGGAACCAGGCTCAGGAGCCAGGAGCTGGGAGCCAGGCTCAGGAGAGGCAAAGGCCTCCACAGAGTACAGTGGGGGAGCATGTAAGCAGGAAAGGAAACAGGCATGATCCAAGAATCCCTTTCTAAGATGGGCAGCCCAGTTTCTTGCACTGCAATCCCAGAGCTGCAGCATCAGCTGCAGAGTGTTCCTTGGAGGCCCCAGTCAGGACAATTAACTCCCCCACTGCCTGACAGGGACCTACTGGAAGTCATGACAACACACATGCCTCGTGTCTCATACAGAAGATGTAGAGTTAGATAATTCCAAAGTTAGATAATTCCAAGTTAGATAATTCCAAAGATGTTAAGATGAGAAACAGACATTCTCCCTCATGTATCACATTTGTTCTCAGATTTGTGACCTCTCCTTGAAAAATCTAAGTTAAGGAAATGAAATTCATCTGAACTAAGTCTTTCCTTCTACACTAAAAAAAAAGTTACAGTAGTTCATCTGCAGTTATATACTGCACTATCTGCATTAGATGTTCCCCAGTGCCCACAGGATATTATTTTCAGTTATATAAACTGTAATAGTCGTGCCTTTTCCACTCTGCCACTCAGACAACATGGAAATGTAAACAGTAAATCTCTATAAAAGGGAGATCAAATTAAAGGGTTTAATTTGAACACAGGAGAGAGATATTCAAAATTAAAGAATAATCACAGATACCTTCAAAATAAGGAAGTGATTTGAAAACAGCTTCTAGAAAGGATGAGTAAGAAACTCTAGGGCAGAATATTAGAGGTCAATGAAAGTTATCCTGAGTACTTTCACACAGTGCTCCAAATCCAGCAAAGGACTGAGGCATATATGAGATACAGCAGAGGAGCTGTAATTTTAACCATGGACCAGGCTTACATAAAGCAAAGAAGTAATCATTAAAACCCTCTTGTTTGAAAGACAGGCATCAGCACATGAAAACCAAGTTATTTTTCTCAACTGAAACATCCGTATGTTCTCACAGAGCAGATCAAAATTCCATCCACCTCTCCTGACTTTGTATTTCAGAGTCTATTTTCCTTAAGCTCTGAAATGTGGTCACATACTGTTATTTTCAAAGCAGAACAATATTACGGAAGAATTTTTAAAACAAGTTAGATCTCTACAATAGCATAAAAAATGGCCAAAGAATATTAACCTCTAAAGCCTTTATCTGTACATACGTGTCTGCATGATAAGTGTACAAATACACACAAATATACTTATGTACCTACATGCACACATACATACACAAATTATATATATACACACACACACACACACACACACACACACACACATATATATATACAGATGCTGGTATATTTATATCAATACAGATATGGCTATAAATATAGAAAATAAGTGTGTGTGCATACACATATTTTAAAGCAAAGAGAAGAATTAAATAGTTAACCACTAAAATCTGCACCTTGAAGGAACTGAAAACTCAAAACCTCTTCATGCAGGAATGCCACACATTGATGAGACACAAGTTAAAAGAGAGTGTTCAGCTGGACTGAAGCTCAATAGACATAAATGTTCCCCACAGTAACTGATTGCATTTGTCCAGCTGCTACCAGGGAAAGCTGATCATCTGTAAGTAACAGGCACTAGGAATATTTTCTTTTACATTATATTATACAAAGCAATCAAAATGTCAGCCATAGAATCTTTATACTAACTCAACTGAGATGCTCTGCCTCTTCCTGTGCCTTTCCTTCTGGTGTGCAGAAACACAGGGTGACATTTTCTCACTTTGAGAGATCTTTTTACTGTTTTGAGAATTAGAAATTGCCAAGCAATTCTAAAACACCAGTCTGTTTATTCTGTTTTGCTTTATTTTTCATTTCTTTTTTCTCAGCACCTAGTCCTAAGGGAATCAGAATACACACGTTCTTTTAAAGGATAATTATGCTTCTATGCCACTATTCTACCTCCTGCAGTACAGATAGACTTTTTTACCTGCAAAAAACTCTCCTTAATTTTCACAAGGAGCATGTTAGATTTGCTATTTACCAGTACAAATTATGGACATTATTTGATCCAGTGGTAGTTAGGAGCACTTAAATCTCTTGCTGAGAGCAAAAGGAGGATCACAGAGGGAGCAAGAATGACAGTCCATAAATGTTGCAAACGTTCTGAGCAAAGTTTACTGATGGTTAGACAAGACTTCCCCCTTGTAAGTAGCACTACGGCTACCAAGCAACCTAATTGCCACTAGGAACAAAATCATATTCCTCATCACTACCCACTGCTCTTGCAAGCACAAAGTAAACTTGGGATGAAGGTCAAGTCATTAATAGTCATGCCAAGTCAAATTTGAGCAGCAGCTGCAAAGCAGCTTGAGCCAAGGCATTGTAGGAATAGCTGAAGATCGCTATTGGAGCAAGCAGATATTCCTTTTTTAACTCTTCTTTTATAAACCAAAGGATCACAGCAAAAGTCCTCAGAAAGCCCTTCATTAGTTGTACTCCTGACAGGAAGAATAAGCTTGGACTTTAAGAGTCTAAAAATCCTATGCAGAAGAATCAAAGTTCTTTATTTTAATCTTTTCTGACATTTTATCTGATAAATGATTGTTAAAAAATTGATTTTTTTAAGGTCAGTCAGTGTTGCTTCTTACCTTTCTTCTAAAGCTTCCAGTAATATGCTAGCTTTTTTCTTATCCCACTTACTAAAAGACACTGCCAAATTTATTCTTTCAAGAGAGGAAGTTTTTTCCCTACATGTTTTGAGAAGCTTATATTGCTGTACTAGTGCTAAGACTTATGTATGACTTAACTTTCTGTATGCAAAAAGCCATGCAGAAGGATGGAGTGAAAAAAGGGTGTAGTGTCCCAGCAGCTAACTGGACACTGGCATTGGCATTTTAATGTGGCACCTGAAAAATTCATACACAGAAACTGCGGTTTATTTTTCTAAAAAGAGTTAACGTCTGAATCAGCCATGAAAGAATCTGAGGATCTGGCATTAGGGAGAGTTATATCCTTGAAACCAGAAGATTAAACCACTGTGACACTCCCTTGCACAGAAAAGAAACGAAATAGTGAAGCAACCCATCCAACCACCAGCACAGCATCTTTGCACAGAAAATGAATATAAAGCAACTCACTAACTAAAGCTTATTGAAACAAAAAGAAAATTCATTGTAAAATCAAAAAGGACAAACGCAGAACATTACATAATTTGGAGTGGAAAGGTCCTCTTGAGGTTTCCCGGTCCCTCCTTCAGCTGAAACAAGCCTAAACTCAGCATTAAACTGAGCTGCTCAGGACCTTGGTAATAAACTGCCTTGTTTAATTGAAACAAATTACAGCAGAGGCAGACAAGATACCTGTGGAAGATCAGATGCAATACAACTGAATTAATCTCTTATCCTGAAAGCATTTCTGATGGGATCAATTTGTCAGGATATTGGGTACATAGCAGAACTACAAAAAATAGGAACAGGATTTCTATAATTCATATTACTGTAGTACCTAGTAGTCTTCTTCACTGAACATCCTAAGCAAAAACATGGTATAAAAACTTAATTTCTGTCCCACAGAGACTAACATCTACATATAAGCCACAGCAGATCAATATGGACAGATTAGGGAACAACAGTGGGACAGACTTGCCCAACACGACAGGCACAAATCACAGCAGATAGGAGTTTGAACTGCTGGCATTTTTTTTAGTCATCAATACATCCTTAAGTTGTTGCAAGAGATTTGAGCAAGGACAATGTTTTGCTGCTTTGCACAGATTTATAAAGTGCCCCTCTCACAGGAATTACAATAAGGTTATTCTTTCAAGGATTCCAGAATTCTTTGAAAAATATAAGAAAAAAAAAAAAAAGAGGAAGACCAATAATGATGTAGTCCTTATTCTAGAAACCAAATTCTTTTCCTAAGGGTATACTTGGAGCCTCTTAAATTCTCTCTATTGTCCAAAATTTACCTCTTTGATATATCTTTCTTGTTTCA